AAAGCAGATCCTAGCAGAGTTTTTGTTCTAAACTTTTCTATTTCCTTTTCATTTAATTTCTCGCTCTGACTTAAGCTCTATTTTTAATTTTTTTTTTAAATTGTTAGCTAAAAGTACCTTTCTCCTTTTTGAATTAAAATATCAAATATGTATTCTCGTTTTCTCTAGAAAAAGGATGAAAAAATGATTTGTCAAAGACATTAGCTAAAAATGACAGAACAATAAAAAGTAAATTTAAAAAATTTTGGAAAGAGATGGCTATAATTAAGAAACAAAAATTACAAAAACCCGAAGATATCTATCTAAAGTTTAAAGACTCGTGGCTCTTTAATATAATACTTTCTCTTATGTTTAATTCCGCTAAGGGTCAAAGAAATTATACCCACTTAGATCAGCTGAAAATTGCGTTCTCTTTTCTTTACTAAAAATAAAAATTTCTATCTTTTACATAACAATTCTTCTAAATCAAAGTACATTCTAATCTATAAACATTATTAGATAATAATTTTTTTGATTTTCTTTCATTCTTTCTGACTTAAGATATTTTTAGTTTCTATTTCTTGTTTTTACACGAGAGAAAAAAAAATTGGTTAAAAAGAAAACTTCTGTTAAAGCCTTATGATAAAAATAATGGATTTTTTTTTTAACCAATCGGACCTAACATATAATAAGAAAAACTAGTAAAATATTCCGATAAGAACAATTTTTAATATTAAAGAGAGGAATATTCTGAATAATATCGAGTATTTTTAATTTGTGAATTTGGAATAATAATATAGAAGATGAAATATGAAATTGCTATTAAATAAGACGTATCCTGTTGAATAACTGTTAGAATACCCTAGATTACATAAAATGATCTGAATCAATTTTTTTAAATGACTTTTACTAGACCAACAAATACCAAAATGGACCTTTATATTAATGAAAAATAAACACAGAAAAAAATTAGATAGTAAAATATAAATATTTTGATTAAGCAGTAAGATAGAGAAAATAATTAAATTTATTTTTAATTTTTTTTTGTTCCTAATCTGGGTTTTATTTGTAGAATAACATTTATAGGAGACATTTGCGGATAAACATTAATCTCCAAAATTATTTTTACTTGAATTATATTAACTAATATACTTAATTGTATTGTACCACCAAGGTGGCGTTTTCTGAAAGGGGAATTGAAAGGGCCCTGTTTCTAATAAAAATTTGATTTTAATTCACTTAGGTCTTGTTTTGTCTGCAAATGTCTGAATTTGAAAGCTATAAATTTTTAAGGAATCAAAAAGATTGATGAAAAGATTTAGAACAAATTTATTTATGTTTATTTTACTATGTTTTATTTGACTCACCTTAAACAGAATTGAAAAGCCAAGGCAGAAAAATTCCCGCTAGACCAAACAAGTTGTCGATTCCCGAAGGATTTGTAGTAGAATAGTTGAGAGCCTGAAAAATCAGAAAATTAGATTAATAATAAAAAAAAATTTTTTTTGTATCCAGATTGAAAATTTATATTTTTTGGTTCGATAAAAAAATTTTCAACTTACAGTCCAGCTAGTACCACTGAAAAATCCAATTCCAATATTTTTTCTTCAAATATTTGATAAGAAGTGAAGAGTGAAGAAATATTGAAGTAAATTAATAATCTAATCTGAATAAATTAAATTTTCTGAGCTTCTTAAAAAAAATTATTGTAGTTTAGAGAATATTTTTGTAGTAGAAATTATAATAAGAATTAAATTCTCAGAAGAGTTTTATAAATTTTGTAAGAATTAATAGAATATATAACTTTGGCGTTGTTCCAGAAGGAAATTAAGGTGAAAAGAAAGAAGGAAAATTAGACCAAATATTTCGAATATAACCTAAGTCAAAATAGTACATCTACTAATATTTTCAACTTTGACATATTTTGTAAGAATATTTATTCTATTGTGTGAAAAGATTTCCTTACTAATGAAAAAAAAAAGATTGGCCATTACAACTTTATGAGAAGAAACAAAGGTGAAGAATATTATTATTTTTCAAGAGAAATTGTTATTGCGAGATATTATCTAATGACTAATATATTGTTAATAATAATTTTTTTTGTAATATATGAGAAAAAGGAAAAAAATTTTTTTTTGTAATTTAATATTTTTTGAGTTTTTTTTTTGTACTTTGAGTTTTTCCCGAAGGGTTTCTGGTAATTTTTCAGAAATTACTTTCTTAGTTTTTTTTTTTTAATTTTATGTTTTAATCTAATTTAATTTTATAATTTAACTTATTTTTTTTATATATAATTTTTCCCCAAAGGGTTTTTAGCTAAAATATAAATATAATTTTTTTTTTAATTTATTAAATCTATCATTAATGTATATATACGTATTTAACCCGAAGGTTTTCAAATTAAATTATAATTATTTTTTCTTAAATTAATTTTATATTATATATTTATTTTAACCCGAAGGTTAGGTCTTACGCGCTGCCTATATATTATTATTTTTTTTATACCGGTTTAACTTATTATAAATATTATGCCCGGGCTTTTACCTAGTTTCTCCTATAATTTTTCTCATCCCCTTGCTCCTCCGGCGAGAATCTTAGCCGGTGCTACCAGTAAAATAGAACCCTTCTCCCAACTATCTGTGCGCCGAAGCAGTGGGCCCTTTCCCAGTTATTATAGGATACAAGGGGAGAGAGGATGTGATCGGGACATTCCTAGAAGACCTTCGGGGTTGATCAAGTCCCTCAGACTCTTCCCTACACCGAAACACACCTAAGTGATAAAGCTTTATTCACGAACTAGGAAATGTGGACAATAATATAATCGCTAGCTAGCACATAATAAATAATAATTATATATAACTGAACCGTGTATAACTGTGATCAAATCACTTAAATAAACATACAAGTGGGAGGGACATTAAGCTAGTAAATTGGTTGAGATAATGTGAACGGAAATAAATATAATTGAACAAAGTCCTTCCAAGCTCAATATTCCTGGGAAAGGGCATTTTAGTCCTACAGTAAAATAGAACCCTTCTCCCAACTATCTGTGCGCCGAAGCAGTGGGCCCTTTCCCAGTTATTATAGGATACAAGGGGAGAGAGGATGTGATCGGGACATTCCTAGAAGACCTTCGGGGTTGATCAAGTCCCTCAGACTCTTCCCTACACCGAAACACACCTAAGTGATAAAGCTTTATTCACGAACTAGGAAATGTGGACAATAATATAATCGCTAGCTAGCACATAATAAATAATAATTATATATAACTGAACCGTGTATAACTGTGATCAAATCACTTAAATAAACATACAAGTGGGAGGGACATTAAGCTAGTAAATTGGTTGAGATAATGTGAACGGAAATAAATATAATTGAACAAAGTCCTTCCAAGCTCAATATTCCTGGGAAAGGGCATTTTAGTCCTACACCTCCCTTGCCCATCTAGACCGTCCCTGGTCGTCAAAATAGTTTGTAGCCCTATTTATTTTTTGATTGTTTTTCTTTTTATTGGATGGCTGACCGAAATCAAATTTTCTGAGTTGCTTTGAGAATGTCTCATTTTATGCCCCATTTTTGGAGGGTCATTTCTCTTGCCCGAGGGCATACTATATTCACTCCCCTTATTTTTCTAGGACCGTCTCTGGTCCGAATGAGTATTGTCAAAAGCTAGGAATTCTATTGTGCCTAAGCACTCCGCGAATGCTGTTTCCATATTAAGTTTATTTTCAGGAGACATTCTCAATTACTCTTTTATTTGATTTCGGACACCCCACTAAAATATGTTTCTTTTTTTGCATCCCTAAGGAATTGTTTCTTTGGTAGGTATACCGAGCTTCCGTGTTTGTGAGTTATGTAACATTGAAAAAATGAGGTTTTGGATATCAAATAGTGGAGTATAAATGGCATTTTTTAAAATAATTTTGATTGGAAATATGTAAGGCAGAGTAAAGAAATAAAATGTGAAAATGTAATTAGATTATAGTTCCAATGTAAGTAATTGTAAAAATGTGCGAAAATAAGTGGTATTTGAATTTCTAAAGAAATTTCCAAATTGAATGATTTTAAAATTAAAATACAAATTTAATGTGATTATAGTAAGGGATATTAGAATATTTAAAAGACATTTGGAAAATAATTGTATAAAGAAAAATATTCAACATAAAGTAATAATTCTAGATGTAAATAATATTATCTTGAAGTGTGAGTTATGTAGGGTTGTTAAAAATCAATTCACCTAAGAAAATATTTTAAATCTCATTAAGTGAATTTTATGACAAAAATGGGTAATAAAGTAATATCATCAAAAATAATATTTTGCAACAAAATTATAATATAATTATAATTAAATCAATAAACTTAATTGGCAAAAATAATGGATGAGTGTCAGCAATAAATATTGCAAAAATGAGAACAGTTGATATGTGAATTAATTATTTTTAGATAATATATTTCTATTGAATTAAAAGTGTTTTGATGGGATTCGAACCTGTTTAGAAATATAATTGTGGGGAATAATGATTATTTTAAATATATTTTAACAAAATGTATATATGTGATCTTTGAAATGTGAGCTTTTGAATTTGTAAAATAGACGAGATTTGTAATTTTAAGTAATGAAGCAAATAAATTTAGTAAATATTGTTGATTTTTTTGAATAATAAAAGAATTAGAATTTGTTAATAAAATATAATTTGAAATAATATATATATATTAGTTGTAAATTTTGAAACATGTATTATTTTGAATTAAGGATAATACCTAAGTATTTAAATAATGTCACAAATGAGTAAATAGATAACAGTAATATATGAAATTTAGTCTGTAATGATAAGTCAAAATTTAGAATCAAAAGTGAAGGACAGGTAAGACAATATTTTGCTGCAAATTTATGTATTAGTTTTATGAAAAATGAGGATTTGTTATAATCCTGTTCTTTCATAACCCTACTACAGATTTGGAGCATAAACTTTGTCTTTTTGAAATTTAGGGAAAATTATACGCTTCTTCATCTTTAGTATTGAACATTGCATCGCCGAAGCGCTTCAATCAGCATTGTACCATTTTCTTTTCTAGTTTGTACCATTTTCTTTTCTAGCCAGTTGTTAGCATTATGTATGAAATAAAAAACATTAGAAATTATTTAATAATTATAAACTTCCAACCCTCTTTTTACCATACAATCATACAAAGCATGTTCATATTCAGATCGTTCAGTTTTGCATCGTCACCTGAAATAGAATGTGTTAGTATCATTTATAAATTAAAAAAATTCCCTTCTTTAATTAATGTTAAAAAAAACTTTCCTTCGTTTTGCCAAACTTTTTCTCACAAACTTTCTTTTACCTTCTCCATACATCACCGAAGTAGTCGCCAAAGCTTGTTTGCTGATCCTTGACAAGTGGAGTTAGTAGTCCATGCGCATTTTCATTTCATGCACTTGTATTGCCAATTCATTTACCATATCCCTCAACTCTTGTTTTTCGTCTACCCAATGATCATAGCTTTGATTCTCAACCTGTTCAAAATTTGGTTTATTGCAATACTTACATATAAAACATATATTGGAAAATTGGTCATTATGTTCTTGTATCACTCTGCTCTGATTGCTATTATTAGTTGATGCCGCCGAAGCGTTGTTTGTTGATTGAATTAATTCATTAGGATTTGTTGAAATTCTGTTTGCATTGATGGATTGAATGTTTGATGAGTTGTGGCTACTATTCCTCCATCGATAACTCCTAGCTCTAACTCTGGTAAGTAAGCAACAAGCTTTTTGAAATCATTTCGACCGATTAGAGGACCTACAAGGTGGAGCGACCGCCGAAATTCTGGTCTTACTTTTTCTATGAGTGTCCTACATAACATTTCTTCTTTTGCTTCAGGTGGAATAAGAGACGACGTGGTATTGACCAATGGTATCAACCTTTTGATAAAGTCACTGACAAATTCCCCTTCCTTTTGATAGCATGCCGCAAGCCTTTTATAAGCCAGTTCTTTAAAGTGTGGGCTGTCTAATTTATTTCTAATATTTTTCAAAGCATTAGCCAAAGTATTCTTTTCGGAAAGTGGCAAACATTTAAATATGGATCTAACTTTAACACCTAAGTATAATTTGAGTCTGTTAATCTTTTCTAGCTCTGTCCAGTTGGTTCCAAATACATCAATATAATCTTTAAATCTTATTATCCATTCATCGAACGCCGAAGCTGTTTCACCAGTGAATTCTACTAGTTGTGCACTTGAGTTGACTTCGCCGAATTCATTAAACGCTATGAAATCTTCACCGATTTTTGAACAAGACATTTAAATTTAGATTGTTTCGCCGAAGCAATGTGAGTAAATAAGAGCAAAAAAATCCAAGAAAAACGTGAATACGCACCGCTTAACATTGAAGCAATTAAATAATAAAATCGCCGAAGCAAAAATAAAATCCAACAAAAAATTATTTGACAACCAGTTGAAGTAAACACACACAGAAGCTATAAAATAATTTAAATTATTTTGAAAATGTTTTTATTGTTTTTTTTGACAAGCTATCTTGTATAACAGTTAATGTTTCTGATTATAGTGAGTTGATGTTAGATTTATTCCCCAAAAATGATTATCCGAATATCTTTTACGTAATTCCATATTTATGAGGTAATTTCTAGAGATATTTCATTAAATATAATATGAGTTAAATAAATATGACTTATATTTAAAAGAAGAGATGGAATGACAGTACATTATATGAATGTAATTAGATAACTAATGTTCAAGACCCAAGAAAATCATCTGGTAAAGTCAAAGAGTTTTGCGAAACAACAGAATCAGAAACATAAGTGATTCAAATAATTTAAATAATTATTAGTATTAAGTTACTCCAGCTAATTTGATCATTTGTTTTCTAAAACATCCATAATTTTTGAACTTATTTCAAATATTTTAACTCTTGACTATTATTAGTAATTGTCTAATATATTTGAGATTTATACCAGTTATTACACTTTTTTAGTAAATAAAATTATAATTACTATTAGCATACTAATACATAAGTTTCTTAGAATTTTTTTTATTTAATTATAACCCCTAAAGGAAATTTTCTTAAAAAAATTAAACATTTATTTTACTATTCCCTTTTTGAATTTGAGGAAGATATTTGAAAAGAGAAAATTCTATCACCTTAATACATATATGAGAATAACAAAATTTTAGGGTGTGATTTATGAACCCAGAATATGATAAGTTTAAATAGATTTAAATGGATTCATATCTGATGGCATACAAAATTCTTTTATAAAATTAATATGAAAAGAATTTAAGATTTTGCATGCTATACAGAGAAAAAAATGGTCCGTTTTGAAATACATTAGAATTTGGAATTTAATAAGTTGACAAGCTATGAAATGAAATAACTTTAGTATATGAATCTATTTAAACAAAAGGTTGTTGACCATTACATAAAATAAGTTTGAGCAGCCTGTATACTATTTAGAGAGCAAAAAAAAATTCGAATTGTTAAAATTTCACAGCTTTGAAAATTTTATGTAATTGTCCATTAACTTTAACTTTATAAGTTACCCTCTTGTACGGATATAACTCTGTACTGCTTACACTCTTAATTTGTTTAAAAATGAGCATGAATTCTAAAAACGACATTTGAAAATAAGCACGATTTCTTATCTTTTACGTACCCCTAAGGAATTCTTGTAGAATTTTGTACTATAACACAAAATTGGATTAATATTTAAATACTTGCGGTTTTGCTTAATTCGAACAGGAAAAATCCCAAGACTGGATTTTTAAGCAAAAATACATAAAAATGTTAAATAATTTCCTAGGGTGTCACATTAAACATAATATCAATACAATGAGTTGCAACTGATTTAGAAAGTTCATAATAATTAAATAAATAAAAATGTTTATAAAGGAATAATAGCTAATACCATTAAGAGCAGTAAAATCATTAAATACCGAAGTGGGTTATTGAAATATACAATATACAAATATTGGCGATTGAATTTAAGGAAAGAAAATTATCAGGAAAAAGTTTTACATAATGCTTTAAATTGCCTCGGCTCATTGATTAAAAATACAATTTTTTTGATTTAAAAATAAATTGAGATTTTATGTTTAATGCATTCTATTACAATATTAACCTATGTAAGATTTTTGAATTGTAGAGATTTTATATTAAATAGAAATTTAAATTCTAATACAGAGATAAATGTCTAAATCTTTCCTCGAAAGTAAAAATTAAAAATTTATGTTTATTTTATGTCCACTAATGAGTAAATAGATTTCACTGTTTCAGAAAATTTATCTACTAGACCCCTAAAGGAAATTTAAAAAAAAAGAATTAAATTTTTACTTTGCTGTCTGTATATGTCAAAATCTAAATTGTATCTTTGTGTACTCAAAGTAAGATTGAAATCATGAACTCTTTCTTTTCAGAGAAAAATGTGTTATAATTTGGAATTTAAAAATAAAAATGAGCTATAACAGCATAATTTAAAAAAAGCTTATTTTGTCTAAGGAAAAAATTTTAAATAAGGTAAGAAGAATATGGGCGCACACATTGACCTAAAAGTCAACGCGTCAAAAATCCTTTTTAGAATTACCTAAGTAAATATATGATTTTTATAGACCAGTTAGTATTCATTCCATTGAAAAATATTAGATTCATAAAAACTAATAACAAAAAAAAAACTGAGTTTAATTTAAGTTACATATTTTTTAAAAGATTAAATATAAAAACAACTCTTATCTTTCTTTCTTTGTTTTTTTTGTTATTACTTCAACTAACCCCTTTTTTTGTAAGTGCGAAATTTTTAATAAAGAGAAGATTTGAGTCGTTTTAATAGCTTCGTATTGTTAAATAATTCGTATACCATTTGTGTATGAAGATAAAAAATCAAATTTTGGTGTATAATACTTATAAAAAAATAAGGAAGACAAAAAAAAATTTTTTTTAGAATTACCTAAGTAAATATAGTTTACATATACTGCGCGCACAATTATAAGAGTAATATGTTTTGAAATGTGTATAATAGAAATTTAATTTCGTTCTAGGCAGAAGAAAATTGCTTCCCAATCTATTTATTTAGAATCGATGCAATAAAATATAGAGGATTCAATTATCAGGGAATAAAAAAATTTTTTAAGGTATTTAAGAAGTCAATTATAATTTTCCTTAAATGAATTTGAAGGTTTAACACAATAAATTATAATCTTTAAAACCTCCTTTTTAAAAAAATCCAAAATCATAGTAAGAGATACATATCTATATTTTAATTACTATTATAGATAAATAAGAAACGAAACTTTAATGATAATTCCAAAAGAGGATTTTTTGCATATTCAAAAAAAAAACTAAGTTGGTAAAGTTGGACTAAAAATACTTTTCTTATATTGAATTCCCCTAAAGGTTAATAAGTTAATTAATAAGTTAATCCCATTTTTAAGGACTTACGGAAAGTCCAAAAACTGAAATTTCCTTTTAACTTAATAAATACATATAAAAAAATCAAATTTCATTCTAACATTTAGTTCCTGGTCAATATTTTCCTATTTCCTTTTCTTTTATCCTCCTTTCTGTTTTAAATCTATTTTTATTTATGTTTTCTTTGTATTCTAGTTTAACATAAAACAGTTTTATGCTAATCCCGAAATAGACTAAACAAATATTTCTCATCTATCAGAAAGAGATTACAAAAAAATTTGATGAATTATGTAATTAAAAAGAATTACAAAATAAAAAAAGGAATTTTAGAAGCAAGCTTGTGAGTACAAATAACAATTCAAAACTAAAACCCAGATTTTTATGTAATAGCAATTTGGAGACTCAAATGGGATGTAAAAAAATTATTCTATCGTAATCAATTCCCCTAAATGAAATTCCCGTTTTCAGGTTGTCCCAATCAGATTTACAAAATCAAAGTACATTCTGATCTATAGATTTGTCAATACTTTTCTATTTTTTTACGTAGGTGTAGGTTCTATTTTCTATGTTTTTTTTTTAATTTGTATTCTAGTAAAACTTAATGTAATTCTTTCTTTTAAAAAAACACTGAACAATTACAATATCCTTTTTCTAAAAGGGAAGATTGAAATTGATTATTCGCCAAATACATGAACTAAAAATTAATAAGATAAATTTTTGAAGCGACTGATAATGATTAGGTGTCCAGAGTTAAGTGGCTTTTTTTTAAATTCTCTTCAATTATATTGAATACCCCTAAAGGTTAATAATCTTATTTCCAATTTCAGAGTTTAGATTCTAAAACTGCAATACTCTTCATTTTTATTCATTCTTATATTAATTAAAAAGGGATGACAAAATAACAAAGATAAATGATAAAAGAATTATTTTTTAACGGAGTCATAATTAGGAAAGAAAAAAAAACTAAGGAACCCGAAAATCAGATAATTCTTTTGCTTATATGTATTGAAATCCCCTAAAGGTTAGTCAAATTATTTCCATTTTTCAGTTCTTCCGGAAAGTCTAGAACTCCAATAAGCCTTTTTAGGTGTAAATAGTTTTACAAAAAATCCCTTTTAGTTTTATAGATTGAAAGCAGATCCTAGCAGAGTTTTTGTTCTAAACTTTTCTATTTCCTTTTCATTTAATTTCTCGCTCTGACTTAAGCTCTATTTTTAATTTTTTTTTTAAATTGTTAGCTAAAAGTACCTTTCTCCTTTTTGAATTAAAATATCAAATATGTATTCTCGTTTTCTCTAGAAAAAGGATGAAAAAATGATTTGTCAAAGACATTAGCTAAAAATGACAGAACAATAAAAAGTAAATTTAAAAAATTTTGGAAAGAGATGGCTATAATTAAGAAACAAAAATTACAAAAACCCGAAGATATCTATCTAAAGTTTAAAGACTCGTGGCTCTTTAATATAATACTTTCTCTTATGTTTAATTCCGCTAAGGGTCAAAGAAATTATACCCACTTAGATCAGCTGAAAATTGCGTTCTCTTTTCTTTACTAAAAATAAAAATTTCTATCTTTTACATAACAATTCTTCTAAATCAAAGTACATTCTAATCTATAAACATTATTAGATAATAATTTTTTTGATTTTCTTTCATTCTTTCTGACTTAAGATATTTTTAGTTTCTATTTCTTGTTTTTACACGAGAGAAAAAAAAATTGGTTAAAAAGAAAACTTCTGTTAAAGCCTTATGATAAAAATAATGGATTTTTTTTTAACCAATCGGACCTAACATATAATAAGAAAAACTAGTAAAATATTCCGATAAGAACAATTTTTAATATTAAAGAGAGGAATATTCTGAATAATATCGAGTATTTTTAATTTGTGAATTTGGAATAATAATATAGAAGATGAAATATGAAATTGCTATTAAATAAGACGTATCCTGTTGAATAACTGTTAGAATACCCTAGATTACATAAAATGATCTGAATCAATTTTTTTAAATGACTTTTACTAGACCAACAAATACCAAAATGGACCTTTATATTAATGAAAAATAAACACAGAAAAAAATTAGATAGTAAAATATAAATATTTTGATTAAGCAGTAAGATAGAGAAAATAATTAAATTTATTTTTAATTTTTTTTTGTTCCTAATCTGGGTTTTATTTGTAGAATAACATTTATAGGAGACATTTGCGGATAAACATTAATCTCCAAAATTATTTTTACTTGAATTATATTAACTAATATACTTAATTGTATTGTACCACCAAGGTGGCGTTTTCTGAAAGGGGAATTGAAAGGGCCCTGTTTCTAATAAAAATTTGATTTTAATTCACTTAGGTCTTGTTTTGTCTGCAAATGTCTGAATTTGAAAGCTATAAATTTTTAAGGAATCAAAAAGATTGATGAAAAGATTTAGAACAAATTTATTTATGTTTATTTTACTATGTTTTATTTGACTCACCTTAAACAGAATTGAAAAGCCAAGGCAGAAAAATTCCCGCTAGACCAAACAAGTTGTCGATTCCCGAAGGATTTGTAGTAGAATAGTTGAGAGCCTGAAAAATCAGAAAATTAGATTAATAATAAAAAAAAATTTTTTTTGTATCCAGATTGAAAATTTATATTTTTTGGTTCGATAAAAAAATTTTCAACTTACAGTCCAGCTAGTACCACTGAAAAATCCAATTCCAATATTTTTTCTTCAAATATTTGATAAGAAGTGAAGAGTGAAGAAATATTGAAGTAAATTAATAATCTAATCTGAATAAATTAAATTTTCTGAGCTTCTTAAAAAAAATTATTGTAGTTTAGAGAATATTTTTGTAGTAGAAATTATAATAAGAATTAAATTCTCAGAAGAGTTTTATAAATTTTGTAAGAATTAATAGAATATATAACTTTGGCGTTGTTCCAGAAGGAAATTAAGGTGAAAAGAAAGAAGGAAAATTAGACCAAATATTTCGAATATAACCTAAGTCAAAATAGTACATCTACTAATATTTTCAACTTTGACATATTTTGTAAGAATATTTATTCTATTGTGTGAAAAGATTTCCTTACTAATGAAAAAAAAAAGATTGGCCATTACAACTTTATGAGAAGAAACAAAGGTGAAGAATATTATTATTTTTCAAGAGAAATTGTTATTGCGAGATATTATCTAATGACTAATATATTGTTAATAATAATTTTTTTTGTAATATATGAGAAAAAGGAAAAAAATTTTTTTTTGTAATTTAATATTTTTTGAGTTTTTTTTTTGTACTTTGAGTTTTTCCCGAAGGGTTTCTGGTAATTTTTCAGAAATTACTTTCTTAGTTTTTTTTTTTTAATTTTATGTTTTAATCTAATTTAATTTTATAATTTAACTTATTTTTTTTATATATAATTTTTCCCCAAAGGGTTTTTAGCTAAAATATAAATATAATTTTTTTTTTAATTTATTAAATCTATCATTAATGTATATATACGTATTTAACCCGAAGGTTTTCAAATTAAATTATAATTATTTTTTCTTAAATTAATTTTATATTATATATTTATTTTAACCCGAAGGTTAGGTCTTACGCGCTGCCTATATATTATTATTTTTTTTATACCGGTTTAACTTATTATAAATATTATGCCCGGGCTTTTACCTAGTTTCTCCTATAATTTTTCTCATCCCCTTGCTCCTCCGGCGAGAATCTTAGCCGGTGCTACCAGTAAAATAGAACCCTTCTCCCAACTATCTGTGCGCCGAAGCAGTGGGCCCTTTCCCAGTTATTATAGGATACAAGGGGAGAGAGGATGTGATCGGGACATTCCTAGAAGACCTTCGGGGTTGATCAAGTCCCTCAGACTCTTCCCTACACCGAAACACACCTAAGTGATAAAGCTTTATTCACGAACTAGGAAATGTGGACAATAATATAATCGCTAGCTAGCACATAATAAATAATAATTATATATAACTGAACCGTGTATAACTGTGATCAAATCACTTAAATAAACATACAAGTGGGAGGGACATTAAGCTAGTAAATTGGTTGAGATAATGTGAACGGAAATAAATATAATTGAACAAAGTCCTTCCAAGCTCAATATTCCTGGGAAAGGGCATTTTAGTCCTACACGAGGTACGAGTACGAGGCCAAAAAAAGAGGTGGTACAAAGTACGAGAACGAGCAAAATCGAAATTTCAAGCACTGGTTAGTATGTAAATTTGGAATATTTTCTAATGATTTTTAACTTCGTCTAATAAATGCTATTTTCAACAAATTTTGGAAACCTCTAAGAAACTCTTCCTAATTCACATCAATATTTACATTATAACTCCCCTACTTGTGTGGAGTAATTAATTAAAAATAATTCTTCTTTAATTATTTAAAGATGCTACTTTTACTATTATTAATTATCACAATTTCCATTCTTTTCTTATTTTGGGCAGCAATAAGAAATAATAATTATTGGAAGAAGAAAGGAATTCCCGGCCCAAAACCTTTACCTTTAAAAGGAAATATTGACCAAATTTTTGGTAAAAATATAGCAGCAATACAGAAACAAAAATGGAGTAAAGAATATGGAAGTGTTTATGGAATTAAAAATGGATGGTTTAATGAATTAGTTATTAGTGATCCAGTAATGGTTAAACAAGTGTTTGTTGATAAATTCGAGAAATTTCATGGAAGAGCGGCAAGTTTAAAAAATAAACACATTAAATTATTAATAATATCCAGAGATTAATATTTAACAGGGATCCTGCCATCAGAAAATAAATTCTCGATTTGGGATTCTGTCGTGACGGCAGGAGTCCAAATACCGTATTTCTTCTAATAGTGCGACTCTCTCTATTAGACCGGCCCTTTCTAATAAACCGACCCTCTAGAGGATCGTTGAAAAATAAACCGAACGGTCGCACTATTAGAACAAATACTGTATCTAAAGATTCTACACGACAGTGAGCGAGGGATTCAGAGGCATGGACTTTGGACCTGGTTTATTGTCCTTATACTATTTACCCATAGTATCAAATCCCATTTATATGTATATTTAAAGGCCTCTCCATTATTTGGCGACGTAGAAACAAAAAAGTTGATTCCCTTATTTTTTGCTAAAGGCAAACGTTGGAAACGGCTTCGTGCAATTGCTAATCCAGCATTTTCAATTTCCAATTTAAAAAGAGTAAATATTAAATTTATTAATTAATGTAAAGGGGAATTCGAATTCTTACTGTCATACGGTGGGGATTTTTGAGATAAGTGGTTTCCTGAACAAAATTCTCTGTAAAATTATCAAAAAATTTATGACAGCGAATTTCAACAAAACATATTTATGCAATAACCAAAAATTTAATAATTTTAAAATTAAAGGTTATGCCAATAATTGACGATTCTATAAAGGTTAATATTCATCTATTGAGACAAGTAGAACTCTCCGGAATTCACGTTGATTTACATAAGTGAGTTTTGATTAGAAATCAGACTGGGAGTGTTGTATGAGAATTGAGATCTCGTCTCGGTCCGATCTTAACATAATTTCAATAACGTTCCGGAACTCTAATTATTCTCCTATCAAAGCGGGAAAATAGGGGTATTTGATAATTTTTTATTTTTTTATTTATTTATTTATCAGCAAACCACAGGTATTTTACAATACATTAAAGTGGTGCATAAAAAAACATGAAAATACAAATTTAAAAAAAATGTGTCAAAAAATATGTGAAACAACGACAAAAAAACATAAAAAAAATGTATAAATAGTAAACAAACACTCTTAAAAACCACACACGCCAGAGTTTAATGTCTTTAGTATTTTACTTTAATCGTTAGAATACTGTTTAATGAGACTTCTAAATTTTTTCGGATCATTTATTTTAAATGGCTCATTTGGAAGATTATTCCAGTTATTCACCACTCTGTGAAAAAAATTATTTTTTGTTTTATTTGTATATTTTTTTGTCCTAAGAAGTAGAGGCCTGCGAAGAGATCTATTTGATAAATTAAAATATTTTTGGGAATTAAGTGATGTAAAACCTTTTATAATTTTAAAAGCGGTGGAAAGATCGGCAATTTTTCTTCGATCTATTAACTTTTCGAGTTTACAAGTATTTAATCTTTCTTCATATGGGACCTTGATTAAACCACATTTTTTGTAAATATTTTTAGTAAAGAGTTTTTGAATTTTTTCAATTTTTTCTATTTGATATTTCATCTGTGGATTCCATACTTCAGTTGCGTATTCTAGTTGGGGTCTTATATATGTCTTATATATATTAACGAGGAGATTTAAATTTCTAGATTTAATGATTCTTATAATTTGGGAGCTTTTTAAATATGCGTTTTTTATGATCATATTTATATGATTGTTAAATGATATTTTTGAATCAATTAATAGTCCAAGATCACGAATACATTCTGTTTCTTGAACTTTTAATCCATGTATGTTATATTCTCTTTTCATGTTATTTTTACCTAGATATAAAGCAAAGCATTTGCTAGGGGATATTTCTAAACCATTTAATTCCGTCCATTTTTCAAGTATTCCTAAAGTTTTATTTAGTTGTTCTCTTTCTATGCCGTTTTTATGAGCTATATATAGTTTTACATCATCTGCGTATAGTTTTACTCCAACATTTTCAGGGATTTCATTAGGAAGATCATTTATAAAAATAAGGAATAAAAGTGGTCCTAGGACGCTTCCTTGAGGTACACCTGAGAATGTTTCATAGTTGTGTGATAATTGGTCACCTATCTTAATCTTGAAATTTCTATCTGATATGAAGTTTTTAAGAAATGTGTAAACTCTTCCACCTATGCCTGCACTTTCTATTTTATCTAAAAGAATATTTATTGGTACAGTGTCAAATGCTTTAGCAAAGTCGATGTAAATAATATCTATATTATATCCATCTTGTATTGCATTATATAAATCATCCATAGTAGATAATAACTGTGTGGTTGTGGACCTATGTTTAAGAAACCCAAATTGATTTTTATTAAAAAACTTATTATCTTTCTAAGAATTTTGTTAATTGCTGTGCAATAATTCTTTCAAGAATCCTACATAAGGTGCATGTTAAAGATATTGGGCGATAATTTTTTGGATCTGATTTTTCTCCCTTTTTATACAATGGAATAATAAGTGATGATTTCCAAATTTGTGGAATTTGCCCATTATCAATGATACATCTAAAGATATCTGATACTATCTTTGCAAGCGAGTCAGCGCAATATTTTAATAATATATAAGGAATGTTATCTGGAGAAGTTGAATTACGATTAGGAAGTGATCTGAGGACATCCCACACAATGCTAGTACTTAAATCTATGTCTGAAAATTTTGTTTTTGGAATTATATTTCTGTTATAATTTGATAGATTAATATTTTTATTTTGGAAGTTTTTTTGAAATTCTTTTCCTAAAATATTACATTTTTCTTCATTACTAAAGTAAAATTTATTTTCCTTATCAATTAAACAGGGTATGTTATTATTTTGGTTAAGTCTGCTTCTAATAAATTTATGTATCGAATTTTCACCTTTATTTATTATTTTTTCTTCTTTAGTATTATGGTGAAATTTTAATTGTTTTTTCAGGTTTCTTGAAACGATTTTATACTCAAGCCTCAAGTTGTGATCATGTTTTCTTTCTTTAAGGACTCTGAATAATCGAAGTTTTTCTTTGTGTAATTCCTTAATCTGTTTGGGGTATGTTTTCCTTATTATCTTATTCAAAGTTCTCATCGGTATATATTTGTTATAAAGATATGACAATTCATTTGTCAGAAAATTATATTTATCTTCAACAGTGAACTTTGTTAATATAGCTAAATCTAAATTATTTTGGAATATAACTTGATTCAAATTATTAAAATTGGATTTACTTAAATCTCTGACATAAATTTTTGGTTTTTTAAATACTTTGATTTGATCATATAACTCAAATTCTATCATTTTGTGATCGGAAGTCGAAAAATTTTCCCTTACATTAACATTTCTTACTAAATTGGAAGCGGGTGTGAGTACAAGGTCCAGGATTGAATTTTCCCTAGTAGGTTCAGTAACAAGTTGATTTAATTGATTTTGACCTATAAACTCTAAAAACATATTCGCGATCTTGTCATAGGTGTCGGTTAATTCTTTAGAATCCCAATTTATGTGTCTAATATTAAAATCTCCGCATAATATTGTTTTTTGATCAGTTTGATTTATAAGAAATTTAAATAATTTTTTTGTATTAATATTTGAACTATTTGGTGGGCGGTAAATGTTTATAATGCTAATTTCTTTTTTGAGAAATAATTTTATATGTATTATCTCTGATTGGAATTTAGAGCCATTAAAAATTATTTTAAAAGGTATGTTGTTTTTTAAAAGGATTGCCGATCCTCCACCTCTTTTTCCTATTCTATTAGCTAATATAGTCTCATAATTACCCCTATATGATAATTCAGAGTTTATTGTATTTTCTGTTGTGAGCCATGTCTCATTGATTAATATAATGTGTGGATTAGAATTTTCGATTAATTGATTTAAGTCCGGTATTTTATTAGCTAGGGATCTAGAATTAAATAATAAACATTTATATGATTGATTTACGGTATTTAATTTTGTCTGCGGTTTGCCTGCGTGTCCCTATTTATTTTTGGTTGCCCTGAGCGGTTGTGGATTTTTGAGTGTAATTATTGACAGATCGACAACAATGTACTTAAACATGTTCTCGGTCTGATTCATAGAAAATGCTTGCTTTCGCAAGTTATACAATATATTTAATTCGTTACGAGTCATATCACGTCTTGCAGTTAAAAACTGTGGAAAAGTTGGATTTTTCTTTAAACACTTACGAAAATTAAATAAAAAGATATCCCTAGACTTTTTATTGGCAAATGGAATTTTTACAATCCTTGGTTTCTTATTAATACCTTCGGAAGACTCACGATTTGGATGTCGATGAATTTCTTTTTCCAAAAGATCAGAAGAGACTCCACAATCAGAAGCAATTGTTTTAACTAATGAAGTGATCTCAGAATTTTCAGGGGCCCGTTCAATAACGACTCTTTTTGATTTAGACTTGATTTCTTCGGCGTCCAAAATAGCGTTGTTTATAATATTGGTGTAATGAGATTGTTCTAGAAAAGAATTATGTTGTTTGTTGCTGGCGGAAAATGGGTCTCCGAATCGATATTTAGGAATTGTTTCTGCTGTTTGTTGTTCTGGTTCATTTGTAAGAATGTCCTTACAAAGATCCATTACAGAATTTACAATTTCAAGCATTGCTGCAGCCCAAGGTGGCATGTCATTAGAAAATTGTTCGGAAAAATTAGAAAGTTTTTTGTTTAATTGATGTAGTTTTAATTTTTTGTTGTTAATATTTGAGGTAGTGAGTGGTGTTTTATCGATTTCCATAAGTTTTTAACTTTTTTTCTTAAACTTAAACTTGGGTAATTAAACCAATTTGTAAGAGAAGACAAATGAGAGAAAATTAATCCGAAGATGACTGAATACCAGAGGTGGGTCGGAATTCAGATTTTCGGAAAAAAATTTGATTTCATATTTCCGAGTTCCAACTTTTGAGCCTGTTCCGATTTCCGGCTCTTCCGATCTTCGACACTTCTCCCTGTTCCGACCCACCTCTGCTGAATACATATAACCTTTTATTTTGCAGATATTTCGACGAGCTTACTTTCGATATAATTTCTCGTATCGCAATGGGTCAAGAAGATTCTAGACAATTTAATTCAGAATTTTGTAAAATGGCTCACGATGTTTTTGCTTTACAACACAACAATATATTTGATTATATAGCTTTTATTTTCCCTTGGATTGGCAAAAATATATTAGACCCTTTTGTTGCTTTTACTGGAAAGATTAGAAAAGATCCTTTGCAGCTTTTAATTGGAAAAATTTATGAGGCTGTTAAACAAAGAAAGGAAGAAAAAATGAAGGAGGGGGAAGAAAAAGATGAAGAAAATTTAAATAAGAGAAGGGTTGATTTTATAGACCTGTTTTTGGAATCAGAAGTGGAAAACAATGAAATTGATTTAACTAAAAATACTGGAAATTACAGCAAGACTGATAAGGTGATTTTGGGAAATTTTTGTGGAGAGACATTTTTTGGAATAATTTGGAACTTGGAGAGGTTTAGCATATCGTAAATGCTCGTATGATTAACCTCTCTCAAATTATTGCCTCTCTCGATTAATTACCCCCCTTTAGCGAAAGGGTGAACAATAGTTACTCGGGGTAAGTATTTGAGCATATAAGTGAGTAAAGTATGCAAAAAATGTTTTTAAATGAACTCTGAAACTTTGCCCTATTGCTTCTTAATTTTCTTTTTTTAAATTCACTTTAAAAGGGTTTTAGTCATCCAGTTGTAGGTCTCAAATATTTCCCAGATATACATAGGTTTGTATTTGAATATATAAATTTATCTATCAAAGTTAAAGAATTTAAAATTCCTAATTTTATTTAATTTCCAAAATTTAATTCACAGTTTGAACGTCATACAATTCTGGAAGAAATTGTACTTAATTGTGTCCTCTTCCTGTTGGCAGGCTTTGATACAACATCTAATAATTTGAGTTTAATGGCACACTATTTAGTTATGTACCCAGATGTACAAAAACGGTTATTTGAGGAAATTGAAGAAGTGTGTGGGGATGGGGAAGAAATGCCTAGTTATGAAGATTTGGCAAAATTAAAATATGTAGATGCTGTTTTTAAAGAAACTCAGAGACTTTGCCCTATTGCTTCGTAATTTTCTTCTTCAAATTTTAATAAATTTATTTACTTTAAGTGGGGTAACTCGTATATGTGAAGAAACAACAACTCTTGGGGGTATAATTATAGAGAAAGGGACAAATATTTCTATTGACTTGTTGACTCTTCATAGAGATCCAAAACTCTGGGGAGAAGATGCTGAAGAATTTAAGCCTGAAAGGTAGTTGGTTGTCTTTAGGAGACGTTCCCTTACCAAAAAATTTTTTTCTTCAAAACATCAATTTATTTAGATGGTTAAATGGAGAGGATCTACCATTTTATTATCCTTTTGGTGGCGGACCTAGAATTTGTATTGGATTGCGTTTTGCAATAATGGAGACAAAAATGATACTTGTTAGATTACTAAAAACTTTTGAATTGAAACGTTGTTTAGAGACGGAGGTAAAAATAAATCGAAAGCGATATTTTTAGGATTTTAAAAACTAAAAGTTTTTACAAAAAATTTTTCAAAAATGTTTAAAAAAATCTTTTTTATTCAGGCTGAATTAAAGTTTGGTGGACAAATTGTCCTTAACCCGGGGAAGGTCTTTGTTGAATTAAAGTTGAGAAAATAAACTTAAATGGGTATTAAACTTTTATTTTACATACTAGAAATTTTTTAATTTGTTAAAAAATTATTCAATATTTATTACATATTTTGACGAATACTTAATTGTTAATAATAGGGCTGGGCATAATATGCACACAAAATCGTTGATGGACCGAAAAAGCTTTTCTCATCAAGGCATATCCGCATATAAGTTCTCGGACAGTTGGAAATCTTCAGATATCCGGTCTTTTTTCAGATCCGGATCCGACAACCTTAATTCGCATATAAGGTGTATAATACTATTTTTATATTTTGCCCAGCCCTAATTATTTTAAATATTTTTATTTATTTTTTTTCTCATTTTTCTTTTTAATTTCTTTTTTATAATAATCTTTCAATAACTTCCAACACATTTGATAAGCAATAATTATTGTTAAAAGCAGTAATAACAAACTTAAAACAACAAAAAATATAATATCCAAATTGTATAATTCAGTTGTGCTTAAATTGCGAGACTCGGGCAGTAATTCCTTCAAGTCACCCCCATTTTGTTCCAAAAAATTAAAACTTTCAATTAAACGTTGTTCTCCCGAAAACGGCTTAAATTTAAATAAAATAATTTTTATTTTTGAATTAAAAAATACTTTAGTCATTATAAGTTTTTGTGTTCTTTCAGCGTTTAATTTAAATCTAAAATTAAAAAATTAAAAGAGATTTCGAGATATTCAAAAAATAAAAGAGAATCCTTAGACCGAAGTGAATATTTGTAAATATTTTTTATTAATTTTAATATTAAAATGTAATTGACCTCTAACAAACAATTAAAAATATTGTAAGAATGGTTCACCTAGAGCATTTAAAAAACTTAGGCGGGGGTTAGACAATCTAAAAGGATAAAAGAATTGTCGCTCTCAGTAACTTAGTCGTCGCCCCGGTAACCCAGTGGTAGTGCTCCTGTATATGTGGTGAGCGAAAGCGCCCAGCAATAGCTACGAGTAGGTGAATGAGCCTTAGACCGAAGTGAATGCGTATTTGCTTATCTTTGAGAAAGAGTTTTAAATTTTAATTTATTATTTCTCTTCCGCCGGTCTACCAGCCAACTTTTTTAGCTCTTTCTGTCACTTGCCAACATAAACTTGCTAAATTTACTAAATTTTCATATCTTTTGCTACTCCTTATGTATTTGGATTTAAAATTAAATAAACTCAAAGACTTGAGTAGTAATAAATTGCCACACTTTTTTTCCCTGTTTCAACAAATTTACCTAAATTCTTTTTTACCTTTCATTTTCAAGAATTGTTTGTAAAGCTAATTTAAATTCCTCATCACTTTTTAACAACAATCTTTTATCAAAATATAATCCCCATCCATTACGTTCAGCTACTCGAGCATTTCGAAATTGATCAAAAAAGAAAGGCATAACCAAAACAGGAATTCCAGCCATTCCAGCTTCCAATAAACTATTATATCCACATTGAGTTATAAATAATTTTAGACGAGGATGGTCTAACAAAAAAATTTTTTAAATTTATATTAAAAAAGCTTTACTTAATATTTTTGTTTGAGGAATCCAATTAATTGTAAAAATATTTTTAATGTCAGTTGCTAATTCTTTTATAAACTTTAAGAAAAAATAAATTTTAATTTTGGGGTGTTCACTATCGGTTATTAACCGGTACCCCCGATTATTCGGTTAATCCAAATTTAAAAACCCGGCTTTAGGTTTTGAGTTTTAGACAAATACCGGTTTTATTCTGGTGGAATTTTTAATAAAATCACACTCATTTTCTGAACTTTTCGGTTTTTTAAATTTTTTAAAAACGGTTAATTTTTGGCAAAAAATATCACAATTTTCGGTTTTAAAACCGTTCGTGAACAACTCTATTTTAAACTTTAAAAAATACATTATCTGTTATATCCACTTTAACAATAAAATGATAATCAGAAAATTCATTAAAAGTTTTGAATAAATTTTGAATAAATATTTTAGGTAAATCGTTGGTGCTCATTGATGTACCAAAAGAGAAGAGGACAACACCTTTCTTTCCTTTATTCATTTCAAAATTTAGTTGGTCCTTTTTTTAAAAATAAATTTTTAAAAATAAAGTGTATTCTTAAAATCAAACATCAAGTTGATTAGACTCTTCTTCAATTTTCTCATTCATTCCAATACCTCCAATATAAATAATATTTGAAAATAAAGGTCTAGGAAAGTCTACAAATTCATCAGCATTTACAAGTATTAGAGGAGAATCTTTAATTATTTGTCGAATGTCTGGATAGTTTGGACTTTTATAAAATAACATTTTAAAAATAATTTTTTTAACAAAAAAATTACCCAAAATGTTTTCTCATAATTAATGTCAAAGAATCATAAACTTCAAAAGAAAGGTAATATCCTGCCATTTGAAAAAATAAATTAAAAAATCTTTCAGAAATTGACATTTTATCGCTATATCCACTAAGTGTAAGTCCTGGGACATAACTAGTTGGATATGGAAGGCCTAGAACAGAAGCTGTATGCTCTGGGATTGGCTGACTATAAAATTATAAAATTTTATTTTCTGAAGTTTTCTCTAAATTTTAATCATTTCCTAATCATCAAGGATAAAAACTAAAAATTATTTTCAGAATGAACTGAAAAATAATTTTTTGGGAACCCTAAATTCTTCAACGTGAATACTAAAAAGAAACCCTTAATTCTTACTAGTGATCGAGCCGGGTCTGGACCAAGGCCTGGGTTTTTCCTGTACCCAGAGTCCAGACCCTGGCATTTTTTGATCTTCTTGGGTTTTTCCTGGACTATAGGCCCAGCATCCGGCCCATGTCAATAAATCAAACCCACAGTCCAGGCACAGGCTTTTTCAAAAATCTCAATCTCTAATGCTTACCTTACAAGCAAAATATGTGTTCTAATGTCTAATAAAGGTGCCAAAGCAGAACCACAATGAAAAAGTTGTTCTGTAATAATTACATCAAAATTCTCAGAACGTAATTTTTCTATTTCTTCTTTCCTTTCAGTAATTAACACTTTAAATTTATTTTTTAAAAAATAAATTCAAATTTTGTATTTTTACTTTCACATTTTTTATTTGCCTCCTTAATATAAGGAATAAATATACGTAAAATAAATATTGGAGTAATTGTTTGAAATGCCATATTAGAAATATCTTTAAAAATTTGGTCATCAATTGTGGATGTAAGGGATCCAATTTGTTTAATTTTGGCATATTTTGTAATATTTTTTAGACTGCCAAAAGGCAAGTTAAATTCAATTTGTAAAAGTGTCTGAGAGAGAAAAATAATTTACCTATTTAAAATATTCTAATCATAAGCCCTGAGCTTATATTTTTCAATGGGTCTCCTCGGATGGGCTCATATTAGAATAAATATATTAGAAAAAATATTAGAAAAAATTTACGGTATTTAAAATTCGAAAAATTAACTCAAAACTAACAACATCATGCCCTCCTTTAGCCAAAGTATCAGCTACTCTTGCATCTAAAATCATATGACTTGCACTAACTGTTGGAGAAAATACGAGGATTTTATAAGAAAAAATATTTTTAAATAAAAATAAAATAAAAATAAATTTAATCATTTTTATCATTAAGAAATTTTGTAAATTTAAGAGAGAAAAATACTTAAAATAAATGTGAACAGAAAAATAACAAATTTGGAAGGACTGATAAGGACAAGATATACTTAAAGGACAAAAAAACAATTTTTAAATAATATACAAAATTATAAAAAAAAGTGAAAGACATTAAAAATTTAAAATATTTTAATTTTTAAGTAAATTGAACTTTAAAATTAAATATTATATTTAGAGTAATAACAAAATCAGCAATTATAACTAGACATCGAAATCTCGTACCTTACCATATTTCGTAGCGTAATACCGAAAAATACCGTTTGTAGTACGGTTCGATCCAATCTCTAGTAATAACTAATTATTGAAAAAATTAAAAAAATAAGGCAAAACTAGATTTAAAATAAATCTTTCCATCATTTTAATAAATTATTTTTAGAAATTTAAATAATAAAGAAACTACAAAATTTAAAATAAAAAAATTTATTTGCAAATACCTACATATTACAGGTATAAATATACTAAAATATTTGCCGTTTTTGCAAAAAATAAAAATTTCTGATCAAAAATATTTACCTAACACAAAATAAGAGAAAGTATTTACATAAAATAGGATAATATAAATTTATTAAATATTTAAAATTATTAAAAGTTTTTACCAAAAGTATAAAATAATAAAATAAATTTAGTTAATATTAAATATTTTAAACAAAATATAGAAGGAATAAATTTTTTAAAAATATTTTTTTTCCTTCAAATTTTTTTTTAAAAATTAAATTTTAAGATGAAAACAAAAATGTTTTTTAATATTTTAATTTTATTTTTAATTATTTTACAAATTAATGGGCAAGCTTTAGACACAACAACTATTACAATTGATGATTCTGAAATAAAGGATATTAATTCTGATACTACAACAATAGATTATGAAGAAAATAATTATAATAGTGAAGAAAATAATGAGGATGGTAAAATAATAGAAATTGATATTTTTATTATTGAAGAGAAAAATAGTAAAGAAAATAAAGTCTCAACTGTTGAGCCTTAAATGAAAGAATTGGTGAAGTTAATGGAAGAATAACTGAGAGAATATTTAATTTTTATTTAAAAAATTAATCACAAATATTAAATAAATAAACATATTATTTAATTATATTTTTTGTTGATTTATTATTTTATTTAAATTAAATAATTATACAAAATTTAATTATGAATTGTTTTTGGGTACACACTATCTTACCGCGTGCCCAACTCACCGCAGAGCTATAACTTCGTTCAGAATTGACGAATCCGGGACTCCTGGTATGGTTCGATTCAACTCGTTGAGGCGCATCGAATTATACCAAGGCGAACCAGGTTCAATAATTTTGAAAGAAGTTATAGCTCTGCGGTAATTGGGCTCGCGGTAAATTGGCCTGCTCCAATTGTTTTTTAGCCAAAGACTTACTATGACAAAAAAGTCTATCCGTGATCGTTAAATTCTCATTCATTCCTTTTAACACTAATAGTAAATACAAAATAAGTAATATTTATAAACATGTACAATACAGAATCTTATTAATTTAAGTTTATTTTGCATTGACTCTGACGACTGTTTTGCCTTTCAATATAAAATGGTGTATAATTATTTTTATATTTTTATAAAGAAAATAATTATTGAAATTACTAAGTTATTATAAACTTAATTATTCATAATTTCTATTAAAGCTTTTTATTAAGAAATACTTTATTCTTCTTTAATTATGAAATTATACATAGATGGCATTAAAAAACATTTAATGCCATTCGAAGCTCCAATTAACCTAAGATTTTTGCAAAAATGGCAAAAATAAGCATACAAATTTGCTACTAAAATTTATTTATATTTAGATTATCCTTCCAATTATTATTTAAGTATTTATTAATCCTCTTTATTTATTTCTTTTCCATTTGTTTTTGTAGAATTTTAAAAATATTTACTACTAAATAATTTACCTATATTTAAGTTATACACTCTGTCAGAAAATGATAAGCACCTCTAAGTTTTCACGTAAAAACATATTTAAGTTTAAAGTATCATAATTAAAAAAATTTTTTTATGAATTTCTAATTCATAATCGAAAGAAAAAAACAATTAGATTTAAAATATTTATGGGTAGTGATGGATAAAACTTGTATTTACATATAGGCTATAATTACAATCTGATCTCATATATTTCTAAATAAAATGACTCAATATTTAGATATGCCGCTCCACGTCTTCCTATTTAAGTTTACCCTAGGATCCGGATCTCCAGATCCGAAAAAAGGCCGATATCCGGAAATTTTCGGTTCGATATCGGATCCATATATCCGAAGATTTTCAATTATCCGCCAACTTTACTCGGACCCCATTTTTTAAGCCCAAAGGGGTATACACAGTACTGAGGTATTTAGCTATATTTTTTCAAGATAATAGCGTTGCATTGTAAAAACTGCCATGAATTTGTATCTAGCCCTAAAATGATTTTTATAATTTTGGAAATTTTTAAGAAAAAATAAATTTTAATTTTGGGGTGTTCACTATCGGTTATTAACCGGTACCCCCGATTATTCGGTTAATCCAAATTTAAAAACCCGGCTTTAGGTTTTGAGTTTTAGACAAATACCGGTTTTATTCTGGTGGAATTTTTAATAAAATCACACTCATTTTCTGAACTTTTCGGTTTTTTAAATTTTTTAAAAACAGTTAATTTTTGGCAAAAAATATCACAATTTTCGGTTTTAAAACCGTTCGTGTCAACCCTTATTTTAAACTTAAAAAAATACATTATCTGTTATATCCACTTTAACAATAAAATGATAATTAGAAAATTCTTTAAAAGTTTTGAATAAATTTTGAATAAATATTTTAGGTAACTCGTTGGTGCTCATTGATGTACCGAAAGAGAAGAGGACAACACCTTTCTTTCCTTTTTTCATTTCAAAATTTAGTTGATCCTTTTTTCAAAAATAAATTTTTAAAATTAAAGTGTATTTTTAAAATCAAACATCAAGTTCGAAAGATTCTTTTTCTTCAATTTTCTCATTCATTCCAATACCTCCAATATAAATAATATTTGAAAATAAAGGTCTAGGAAAGTCTACAAATTCATCAGCATTTACAAGTATTAGAGGAGAATCTTTAATTATTTGTCGAATGTCTGGATAGTTTGAACTTTTAAAAATAACATTTTAAAAATAATTTTTTTCACCAAAAAATTACCCAAAATGTTTTCTCATAATTAATGTCAAAGAATCATAAACTTCAAAAGAAAGGTAATACCCTGCCATTTGAAAAAATAAATTAAAAAATCTTTCAGAAATTGACATTTTATCGCTATATCCACTAAGTGTAAGTCCTGGGACATAACTAGTTGGATATGGAAGGCCTAGAACAGAAGCTGTGTGCTCTGGGATTGGCTGACTGCAAATTATAAAATTTTATTTTCTGAAGTTTTCTCTAAATTTTAATTCTTAAAACGCCTTTAATTTTTAAAACCATTTCGGCCTTTACGGACCTATACAACAAATTTTATTTTGGACTGTTTTGGTCTTTTTTGACTATCCTTTTAACGCAATTTTTTGATTTCTGTCTGTGCACTGCACAAACATACAAAAATAATCACGTGTCTCATATAGAAATATATTGACGCTATACTTACAAAAATATTTTAAATAATGCAAAATGGAATATTTTATATTATACAGATCGCGAAACTGATTTTAAAAAGTGAATGACGAAACTTAAAAAATTAAGTTTCTTTCACGTTTTTTGAATTATTACATGCTTTTTTTTAACATTTTCACATAGAAAAATTTCTTCCTAATTATCTGTTATTAACTACCTGTTTCTGAAAAAGAACCCTTTAATCTTACTAGAGATCGAGCCGGGTCTGGAACAAGGCCTGGGGTTTTCCCATACCCAGGAACCAGGCGCAGACATTTTTTGACCTTCCTGGGTTTTTCCTGGCCTAGGTTTTTCCTGGACTAGAGGCCCATCATCCAGCTAAGGTCAATAAATCAACCCAGAGTCCGGGAACAGGCCCATGCTTTTTAAAAATCTAGATCTCTAATGTTTACCTTACAAGCAAAATATGTGTTCTAATGTCTAATAAAGGTGCCAAAGCAGAACCACAATGAAAAAGTTGTTCTGTAATAATTACATCAAATTTTTCAGAACGTAATTTTTCTATTTCTTGTTTCCTTTCAGTAATTAACACTTTAAATTTAATTTTTAAAAAATAAATTCTAATTTTATATTTTTACTTTCACATTCTTTATTTGCTTCCTTAATATAAGGAATAAATACACGTAAAATAAAAATTGGAGTAATTGTTTGAAATGCCATTTTAGAAATATCTTTAAAAATCTGGTCATCAATTGTGGAGGTAAGGGATCTAATTTGTTTAATTTTGGCATATTTTGTAATATTTTTTAGACTGCCAAAAGGTAGGTTAAATTCACTTTGTAAGAGTGTCTGAGAGAAAAAAATAATTTATTAAAAATATTTTAATCATAAGCCGTGGGCTTATATTTTTCAATGGGTCTTTTCGGATGGGCTTCTAATAGAGGTGGGCTTCTAATAGAGGTGGGCTTCTAATAGAGGTGGGCTTCTAATAGAATATTTACGGTATTTAAAATCCTGAAAATCCTAAATCAAAACTAACAACATCATGCCCTCCTTTAGCCAAAGTATCAGCTACTCTCGCATCTAAAATCATATGACTTGCACTAACTGTTGGTGAAAATACGAGGATTTTATAAGAAGAAATGTTTTTAAATAAAAATAAAATAAAAATGAATTTAATCATTATTATTTAGAAAATTTTGTTAATTTAAAGGAGAAAATACTTGAAATAAATGTGAACAGAAAAATAACAAATTTGGAAGGACTGATAAGAACAAGAAATACTAAAAGGAAAAAAAAACAATTTTTAAATAATAGTATACAAAATTACAAAAAGAAGTGAAAGGCTTTAAAAATTTAAAATATTTTAATTAATAATTTTTTAGGTAAATTAAACTTTGAAATTAAACATTATATTTAGAGTAATAACCAAACTAGCATTAATAATTAGAGAAAGAGATTTCGTATCGTATCATATTTCGTATCAAAAATACCGAAAAATCCCGTCTGTACTATTACGAAAAAATTTTTTATATGAAAATACCGAAATCCCGCGGAATCCCGTTAAATTTTAGTACGAGATTATCGGGATTTAAAGGGATTAATCCCGTGGGAACCTGTCCCGCAAAAATTTTTGAAGAAAATCCCGTTACGGGATCCGAGGAATGCGATTTTACCGATATCTACTTTCCATCATTTTATTATTTTTAAATAAGTTAAGTATTTTTAAAAATTTAAATAAAGAAACTACAAAGTTTAAAATAAAAATATTTAGTATTTGCAAATACCTACATATTATAGGTATATACATACTAAAATACTGTTTTGCAAAAAATATAAATTTTTGATCAAAAATATTTACCTAACACATAATAAGAGAAAGTATTTACATAAAATGAATAAATATATTAAATATTTAAAATTATTAAAAGTTTTTACCAAAAGTATAAAAATAATAAAATAAATTTAGTAATATTAAATATTTAAAAAGTATAGAGGGTATCAATTTTTTAAAAATATTTTTTTCCGCTAATTATTTTTTAAAATTAAATTTTAAAATGAAAACAAAAATGTTTTTTAATATTTTAATTTTATTTTTAATTATTTTACAAATTAATGGGCAATTAATAGACACAACAACTATTTTAATTGATAATTCTGAAATAAAGGATATTAATTCTGATACTACAACAATGGATTATGAAGAAAATAATTATAATAGTGAGGAAAATAATGAAGGCGATAAAATAATAGAAATTGAAATCTTTATTATTGAAGTAGAAAATAGTAAAGAAAATAAAGCCTCGACTGTTGAGCCTTAAATGAAAGAATTGGTGAAGTTAATGGAAGAATAACAGAGGGATTAATTTTTATTTAAAAAATTAATTACAAATATTAAATAAATAAATATATTTTTTAAAATTATATATTTTTTTTGATTTGTTATTTATTTAAATAATTATTTAAAAATTAATTATGTATTGTTTGTGTATTCAAAAACATTTATGACAAGAAAATTTATCTGCGATCCTTAAATTCTCATTCAATCATTCTAACATAAATAAATACAAAGTAGGTAATATTTATAAGCGTGTCACGACACTTGCAGATATGACATTTGCAGACCCGACACTTGCAGACCCGACTTTTGCAGACCCGACATTTGCAGATGCCGACACTTGCAGATATGACACTTGCAGATCAGACATTTGCAGATCCGACTTTTGCAGATTAGACCCATTTCGTCTCTTCTTTACCTTACCTATACACCGTGGTGTGTTTGCTGCTGTGGAGGAATCCTGGGATGCCCATCTCATCGATGATAAGAATAGGATCATGTTACGAGCCCAGAGCCCAGCGACCGTTGACTCCCCGTGAGGCGCGTGTCGCAAAACCACAAGCGCCTCGCCGACGTTCTGCACAAGCGCCTCGCCGACGCTCCATAGGTCTATGTTGAACGTTTTGAACCTCCGGAAAAAGGGAATCTCCGGGAAAAAGAGTGGTGCCGTTCGACTTAGCTCGTCGAGACGGTGCCGTGTGATTTGGGCAGTGGTGAATTGGGCAGTGAGTGATATGGGCAGTGAGTGATTTGGGCAGTAAACGTTTTTTAAAAAATAATTTTACACGCAAAAACAATTTGAGTAACGTTAGAAAAATATTTTCGAGTGATTTGGGCAGTAACTTATAATTTTTAAATTATTTAAAATTGATAAGAAAAATTCCTGAAATTTTTATTTAACTTAAAGTAAATCCAAAATTTGAACATATTTTTCCAAAACTATTTTGACCTTTTTCAGATATTTTGGACCTATCTTGAGTCCTAAAAACTTAAAATAGGAATTATTTCTCAATTTTCATACCTTAAATCTACTTATCACTTATTTGTTAGAAAAACATCAAAATTGAGACCAAGACGATTTCAACAAAGGGTAATGTTGTACCTACAACGTTATCAAAATGAAAAAGGGGTGTGGTTCTTTGAATTTCTGTGCAAATAATTTAAAAATTATAAGTTACTGCCCAAATCACTCGAAAATATTTTTCTAACGTTACTTAAATTGTTTTTGCGTGTAAAATTATTTTTTAAAAAACGTTTACTGCCCAAATCACTCACTGCCCATATCACTCACTGCCCAATTCACCACTGCCGTTTTCACCAGACACGGTCGAGACGAAGTGGTATGGGTTTTATATCAAAACCTTTCCACCGGTATACTATACTATATCCTTTGATTTTTTAAGTTTTTTAAATTTTTTTAATTTTTTTCAAAAATTAATATCTGCAAAAGTCGGATCTGCAAATGTCTGATCTGCAAGTGTCATATCTGCAAGTGTCGGTATCTGCAAATGTCGATCTGCAAAAGTCGTCTGCAAATGTCGGGTCTGCAAATGTCATATCTGCAAGTGTCGTATGACCATTTATAAGCATGTACACATAAAATCTTGTAAGGATGGTCCACCTAGAGCATTATGCGGGGTTAGAAGGCATTAGTAGTCGTCGCCCGAGAAGTGCTGTTGTAGAGCACCTGCATTTATGTGAGCAAGGCCTGCCCGGTGGCTGTTAATTTTATTTTGTATGACTCAGATCGACTGTTTTACCTTTCAATATAAAATGGTGTATAATTATTTTGATATTTTTAAAAAGAAAATAATTCTTGAAATTAGTAAGTTATTATAAACTTAATTATTCATAATAATTATAACTTTTTATTAAAAAATATTTTATTCTTCTTTAATTATGAAATTATAGATGACATTAAAAAAACATTTAATACCATTCGTTTTTCAAGCTTCAATTAACCTAAGATTTTTACAAAAATGGCAAAAATAAACATACACATTTACTACTAAAATATTATTTATATTTAGATTATCCTTCCAATTATTTATTTATTAAACATTCATTATTTCTTTCTTCTACATTTGTTTTTGTTGAATTTTAAGAATAATTATTTTTAAATTTAATTATTTACAATTAAAAAATAGCAAATATAGATATAAAAAAATACAGTCTGATCTCATATATTTTTAAATAAAATAACTCAATATTTAGATATATCGCTCCACGTCTTCCTATTTACGTTTACTCTTGGATCCGGATATCCGGATCCGAAAAAAGGCCGGATATCCGGAAATTTTCGGTTCGGATATCGGATCCGGAAATCTGAAGATTTCCAACTATCCGCCAACCTCACTTGACCCTTTTTTAAGCCCAATGGGTATACACAGTACTGAGTTATTTATATTTTTTGAAGATATGCAATAGCGCTGCGTTGTAATTAAAAACTGCAATTAAGTCAATTTATAATTTTGAAAAATCAAAATAGCTACAAAAATACAACAATTAATTCCAATTAGAAATATTTTAATATTTTTACTACATATTTTAAATTCTAAAAAAATTTTCTTTTATTTAAAATAACAATAAACAGTTTATATTTAGAAAAAATTTAAAAAAGAAAAAAAACGAAAATTTTTATTAAATGTCTTTTTTTTGTTTAAATTAATATTTAATTTGACGTTATTTTATTTAAAAAATGTTAATTACAAAAATTCTTTTTTTAGTTATGTAGGTATTTTAATTAATAAATTAACATTTTTATTATGTACATACATATTTTTATTTCTTTTTTCCCTTCATTTTATAAAATTTTAAATTTTAAATTAATATATAAATTAAAAAATAATTTTCCGCTTTAAATTTAATCAAAATTAAAATCTTCAAAAAATTACCCTCTTCAGCAAAAGCTTGAAAAGTAATTACCGAAAAACTTGAATTATTGTTTCGACTTTCTTCTGGAGGGAGTAATTATTATTTGAGGTTGAAATTTGAACGTGTTTTAGGGTATTTGATGGTAGTAATTATTATTGCAATCCATCGCTGGAGTGCGTAATTAATATAAGTGGGGTGATTATTTGAGGTAGGGTAATTAATACAGGTTTTACGGTATTTTTAATTAATTAATCGAGTAACTCTATATCCAAATATATTTAAAAAATTAATTAATCTAATTAATTAATTTTATTTTTATAAAAATATTGGAAAATATTTGTATAAAATGTTACTATATATATATTTTTTTATTTAATTAAAAAATCAAAAATTATTTCGAACCAAAACTATTTCGTGAATATTTTATTTAAATTATAATATTTGCACAAATGCTACAAATTTGAATAAACAAAGCCTTTGTTTTAATTTTAAAATAGAAATATTTTAATAAATAAATTAAAAGACTAGAGGAATTAAATTAACGACAACAGATTTTATTTTATTTTAAAAATTTTATGGTAAAAATTTTATTGTCTAAATTTAATTAAAATAACTAAGGGTTTAGGATTTTTTTCTTTTTTTCTTTCCCTGAACGTGCCACGGATTCGAGGTTACTTTCTAATTATGTTGACTGATTAAGGAAATAAATTTTCTATTTTTCCATGCCTTTTTTGGCAATCCTGACTAAATTTTTTTAAATCTTTGATATCCTATTTAATTTTTTAAGCATAATAAATAAATCATTTTAATTAGTAGCCAAATGGCAAATTAATTTTTTTCCATTTTATATTTAAATACAAAATCTTATTTCCTAATTTTGCCTTTTTAAAAATATTTCCATCAAATTCATCTGCTCCTTTTTAAGTTACAAATTTTTCTCACAGACGAGTGTGCTATCTATAGCTCCAAGC